ATATTTTATCATTTAATTTGTGAACCTTTTAAAAAAGGACTAAACTGCGCAGTGGACCTGATAAATACTTACAGGTTTTATATGTCCACACCTTGCTGCTGTCACTGTACACCTTATTCCATTCTGTGAAGCTTCTCATGCTGATCATGTATACTGTATCTGAATCCAGGTCTTTACCATTTATTACATGGTACTGCAGGTCCTCATCCTTAGCTGGTTTGACAAGTGGAGATACCTGGTACAGGAAAATAAATGTTAAAAAATAAGAGAGAGAGAGATTGATGAATTGGTCTAGTTTCAAACAAACCACCTCACCTGGTTCGTCTTGTCTCCTTGCTTATAAAAAGTCACTTCAGCAGTAATCCGAGGATTTAACCATTCTTTCATGTTTGTTTTCCACCTGACCTCCACGTTTCCATTGGATTCTTTCACTGAGACAATTGTTGGAGTGTTAGCTTTAACTGTAACAACAGAAGAAAGGAAAGTTAAACTTTAACCTGCTCTGAGAATATCTGAAAAAGCAGAAGATGTTTTATAAAACTCAACATACAGCTCTCTGTGGTGTTCACAATTTTCACCTCCACCTCTTTGTTTCCTCTGCAGACCTTCACAGTATAAATTTCATTAAAAGTCAAAGTTAATTTCTTAGAGCAGCAGCACTTATTGTTGCACTGCTGAAGAGGGCAGGAGTATTTCCTGTGGAGAAGAAAACTTTCTGTTAGATCTTTAACATCAACACAATAAAAAAAACTTAAAACATGAGGAAAATGTTAAATAAAACCAACTCACTTTTCATCAAAGTCATCCTGGATGGTTAATTTGTACTCAGAACAGTTTTTCACCTCAAATTGGCAAAGCATGCTTTCTATGTCATGGTTACAGTCAAGATTAAGTTTTACATCACCTCCTGTACAAAACAAACATTACAAAATATTAGTTTATTACTCCTCTATGGATGAGTTATATATAAAAAAGTCCACCCTAGTTACCAAAGACGAGATGCGCGTTCACGCAGAGTCCAAAAAGAAGCAGTGGGAGGAAAGCCATTCTTCTGTCTGCTGCTCTTTTAAAGTAAAATCCCCCCAAAATTAGATAATTTCCTTGAATTAATATCGCATGGTTATTTAGATTAAAAGTTTTGTGTCGACAGTCTCCTCTGCGGTTTACAGGCGGAGTGAATGAAAGCGCCTCGAACTCTTCCTGGCTGTTTTTCTGGATTACACTTCTGAGGAACTTTGTTCCTCCTCCTCCTCCTCGGTTTCCCGTAAGAGAGGAGAGGAGACGTCACATGGGCTCTGCAGATCAAAAACATCACTTTTCTGGTAAAGAAAAAGCACAGGACTCATTCAAAGCCGACACGCGCCAAGTCAGAGGTGGCATTAGAAAAAAAAAACAGTGGTGCGTTTAAGTGCACGGAGCAACAACTGCTGTTAGGGGATACAGGCACAGATACAGGAGAAACCATACGGACTGGCGCTGCTTCTGCGGCCGCCATCTTGGATGGGTGCCTGTCACGCTCCCAGCGCATTTATTTATATTGAGAAAGCTGTTCATCTGCCTAAAAATAAAAAATAAAAACGCTACTCGATTTTTTTTTTTTTTTTTGGTGCATCAGCAGCAAAGTGACAGGAAGTTCACACAGGGTGAACATATTTTGTATGAATTAGAAATAAAGAGCATTTTAAAGCATTTAAAGAAAACACATTTTGTAATAAAGAAATATGTTTGATTGTTCCTTTGAAGTTATTTCTCTTTAACACAATCTTAATTATTTACACAGCAATAACACAAGAATTTATACATACGTATATTTGTTTTATTGTGCTTTGAATGCACACGTGTGTACCTGTTTATATTGTATATATATATACGTATATTTATAATAATAAATGTGACCCATCACATCGAAATG